ATTACCTTACTCAAGTAATCATCCTCAGAGTATTCAAATATAAAATAATAATAATACGCCATTACCTTACTTAAGTAATCATCCTCAGGGGCCTCAAATAAAAAAATAATATCTTATTACTTTACTCAAGTAATCGTTCTTGGGGGATTCATATATAAACTAAGGTAATACACCGTTACCTTACTCGAGTAATCATCCTCAGTGAATTAATATATAAACTAAAATAATGCACCATTACATAACTCAAGTAATCATTCTCAGGGGATTCAGATATAAAATAGAATAATACACCATTGCCTAAATCAAATGTAAACTAAGACAATACGCCCATTACCTTACTCGAGTAATCATCTTCAGGAGCTTCGAATAAAGAAAAAAAACCACGAAAATACACCATTACCTCTCTCATATTATCATCCTTCGGGGCCTGAAATATAAACTAAGATAATACACTCATTACATTACTCGAGTAATCATCTTCAGGAGCTTCGAATAAAGAAAAAAACACACGAAAATACACCATTACCTCTCTCATATTATCATCCTTCGGGGCCTGAAATATAAAGTAGGATAATATACTATCATCTTATTAAAGTAAAAATCCTCAAGGGTCTTATCAACTAACATAATACATCCTTACCTTACATTTAAAAAGGCGATTTCCAAACCAGTACGTATATAAATGGCATTGAAAGGACGCTCTTCTAATAATTTTGTGTAAATGAAGAACTTCGAATACTTTGAAAACATAATATAAGAGAATGGGAATCGAATCCTCATTGCTACTCAAACAAGTTACATACGATAAATGTTGTACTTGAACACCGTAAAAAAATATTTTCCAGAAATACTACCAATATATAATTTATTTTTCCCAGTGAAGCAAAATGTTTTCGTTAACAGAAAAAAAAGTGAGATCTACAAACCGAATTGCTGGGTAAGAAAAATATATCTTACTTTAATATTTTCACAGCTGTGAATAAAACTTTCAGCATGAAATGTAAGAACTGAATATTTCTCATATATCGTTATTACTTATTTCTACTTAAAAGTCACAGCTAAAATAAATATATTAAAAAAGTTGTGCGCTTTTTTCTATACTTCAAGCTTGGAGTATTTATGAAACTTTATATCTTGAAGTTCTCAATGAAACCTTATCGTAAAAGTCGAGTTTCTAAGTAAATTTAAATTGTTTTTTCTTGTACGTAGAGTATCAACATACATCTTCAAATCCATCAACAGAAATGTATATTACACGTTTAGTAGCCTCTAATGTTTTTAAAGTCAACCCTCTAATTCTTTCTTTGAACACATTTCGTAATTCAAATTCGATGACGAGGAACCCACTTTGAGACTAATAATGGCTGGAGACGGCTTAAATGGGTAATGAAAGAAAAACTTTAATATAAGTTTAACATGACAGCAAATGTACAACGTTTCGACAAGGTTTTGTATATATACATTTCTTCTTTTTTGGTATTAATGTTATTTTTAATATGCACTGTCTGTACATTATCATTATTTTTTAATATCTAGAAACTTTTTATTTTGCCTGTGAACTAATAGTATAGCTTTAAAATGTCTGTATTCCCTATTTTTGCAACAGAAACAAACTTAAAACATTTTGTTGAAAGTTGGTTTG